TTCTTTAGGTAACTTCTTCCCACAAAGCATACTACGCACCATGTTCATTATTGTACGATTTTTCCTCTCGGCAACTCCGTTTTGTTGAGGCGTATATGGAGGCACCACCTCATGCACAATACCCTCAAGATCACAAAACATCCCAAACTCACTAGAGGTATATTCACCTCCACCATCCGTTTTGAGAATTTTGAGCTTCCGACCGCTTTGATGCTCCACCATGGATTTGAAACTCTTGAACACTCCAAACACCTCATCCTTTCTCTTAATAAGATATGCCGCCATAAGTCTCTACTTGCATCAGTCCACAAACATCGGAATACACCACCTCAAGTAAGCCTTTGGTTCTTCGACCCACATCCTTGCTAAACACATTCTTGTGTTGCTTACTCTTCACACATTCCTCACATAATTCTGTCGGAACACTAATATGTGGCAGCCCCGTTACCATTTCACTTTGTTGCAACATTTTAAGATCCCTAAAGTTTAAGTGACCAAGACGGTAATGCCATAACCACTAATCTCTAATTGCCGCGGTAGCTAAACAAAGATGCTCCATAAACTTTAACTCAACCTTAAAAGTTCTATTGGCAGCCATCGTTGCTTTTAGAATCAACACATCGTTTGAATCTAAAACGCGTAACATCTTGTTCTCCAACCGAATTAAGTACCCTCTTTCAAGTAATTGGCCAATGCTTAAAAGATTGCACTTAATTCCCGGTATGTACAAGACATCTTTGATCCTAGAGTGTCCACCATTCTTTCTTCCGATCAAAACATCTCCTACCCCTTCGGCTCTTAAAGTGGTGTCGTCGGCAAACTTGACTTTACTCTTTGCCGCTTGATTGATTTGCACAAACCAATCCTTTCGACCCGTCATATGTGTTGAACAAACGAAATCCAAGTACCACTCATCTTTACTTTGAACTTCATCACGCATGGTAAGTAATGTATTTCGATCCGAATGCATTTTTCCACCACTTTTCGAAACTGTACAGCTGCTGTCCCGCAGACTATCACCATAGTAGCTGCTGCCTGGAACATCAACAATACCATAATTCTCTTCTGTAATCATCACAAGAAGGGTATCTTCATCATATACCTCTTTCCTAGCAACCTTAGCCTCATCCGTATCCTTTTCCTTGCGCTTTGAGTGACATTCTTTCGCAAAATGCCCAAGCTTTTAACAATTATAACACTTCACAGAACTTTTGTCAAACGGTTTGTGGGCGCTTTGATTACCATATTTAGAGCTTCCTTCACCCTTTGAATTTTGTGGATATTCTCCACCAAAATTCTTCTTATTTTTAGAAGTCCACTTCCCTTTCGATCTATTGTTCTTCTCATGTAAATGCGCTTGCAAAGCGATCTCCGCTTTGGCTTTGTCGGCACTTCTCTCATCCATCCTTTGTTCATGCACCTCTAGCAAACTTTGCAACTCATATTTGCTCAAAGTTGTTAGATACTTTGACTCCTCAATAACCACAACAATGTTATCGAAACGTGATGTTAACGAACACAACACTTTCGATACAACATTCTGCTCAAGGATCGTTTTGCCACATGACTTGATTTGGTTGACTAACCGGGTAATACACGTGATGTAATCGTTGATCGTTTATTTGTCCTCTATTTGCGTTAACTCGAATTGATGTTTGTAAGTTTGTAACCTTACCACCTTCGCTTTTACGGCACCGGTATACGCTTTCTCCAATATTTCCCATGCTTGCTTCGCGGATTCACAATCACCAACCTTCTCGAAATTGTCGTATCAACACAAGAGTGAATCAAGAATATGGCTTTGTAATCCTTTTTATTTTCTTCCTTGTGTGTAGCCCTACGAGCATCGGTAGCATCTGCCCCTAACGGTGTAACTCCATTGATGATGATCTCAAGCACCTCTTGATAACCAAACAAAACCTTCATTTGTTTCGCCCATTTGTCGTAGTTCTTCGAATCAAGAATTGGGAGATTGGTGGGAATTCGATCATTGGAAACGGTAGCCATTGTTGCAGTGGATTATGATCAATAACCGGAGCTCTTGATGCCAAATGTTAGAACAACATAAAACATAAAACCAGAGCTTTGAAGATAATAACAATGGTGAAAAGAAACTTGATAAAGATGAAATATGAGAGAGAGAGAGAGAGAGAGAGAGAGAGAGAGAGAGAGAGAGAGAGAGAGAGAGAGAGAGAGAGAGAGAGAGAGAGAGAGAGAGAGAGAGAGAGAGAGAGAGAGAGAGAGAGAGAGAGAGAGAAAATTAGGGTAGAGAGTAATATTGGTGAATCAAAAATGGCATTAACTTTGAATTGGGATTACAACAATGTATATATACACACGAGAGAATACTACAACTAATAACCAAAACCAACTAAAGTGTCATGCTATTAAATTCTGCTATTTTTGAAAAAACTAACAGCTGTAATCGATTAGCAACAGCTTGCTGAATTTTCAAAAAAATAGATTTTTAACAGCTCACAACATTTTTGACATTTGCAATCGAATTACTTTTGGGTCCTCTTGCTTTAGTCTAGTGAATATTATCTCTAGATCTCTAACAAGACTCGTGATCATATAAGTAAGATGAAATAAATATATTTCTCATTTTACTTTTATAATATAATTTATATGAGTGACAAGGAGAATAATTTTTTTTATACTTTTATAATTTTTTCTAATAAAATATAATATAGCAACATAGTCATTTTTATTACAGTAGTTACATCTACGTATACCACATTTAGAGAATCTATTAGCATGTCAAATATTACTAAAACTCCTAGCATTATTATTTGGCTCATAACTTACACCAACTTTATTTTAGACAGCTCTTTGATTATCTTGAATGAAATTCAAATTATCTCTTTCTTGGTTAAACTTTTAGAGTGTGTTATGCAAGTATTCAATTTTATTTTCTAAAATGCTGCATTTTTCATACTTGATAGCTTCGCCACAGTTTCCATTAGACAGACAATAAGGAGAAGGAGATTTTTGAATTAAAATACTTTATTTTTCTCGAATACAATCTATTTCCTTTAAGAGATTTTTTACAAGAGAAGAAATAGTAGACCGAGGCCTAAAGCATGTTTTTTTTTTTAATTTAGTTGATTGATTATCTAACTTCTTCAGATGAGGAATAGTTCATTATAAGTGCATTTAAGAGTTATATTATTTACCTTATTTTCTTTGTGGTGTGTCTTTAGACGTGGGTGAACTTCTTCCTCTCTTTTAGAGTCAACATTGAAGTTCATGTTATTGTCGTTTTATGTAATGTAGCCTCCTCTCAATATGTTGTTGTCTTGGGACTGTATATGTCTTCTTCCCTTATGATTGAAAGTGGAGACTCCATTAAACATTCTGCAATCAAAATTCTTGTCTTTAGGGCCTATATCGTGGATGAATTTTGAAGGTAAAAGAATGGTTGGCAGTGGAGACTCCTTTGTAAATTATCATTAAGATATATTTATTAGAGTAGTCATTCCCGAATAGCGACACAGAGTGACTGACCTTAAAATAGCGAGATGACGACTCTATTTGATATATTTTTGAGCAAATTACATATAATGATTATAAATATATAAATGTAAAATTAAATAAATAAATCAACTCATAAAATATTCATAAATTAAAACTCACATGATTCTTAAAGTACATAAACAACTATGAAGAAAGGTTAATGTTAAGTCACAACTCAAATTTGATTGAAAAGTCCAAAATTATTCTTAAAACTCTAAAGGATAATTTTAGTTTTTTAGAGGGTAAATGATAGTAGGTCAGAAACTGCTATGAGATAAGAACCGTTCTATTTTACCATCCAGCTATTTATTTATAACGACCGTTATAGTATTTTACACGGCTAAACCTCTTTCAAAACAGGAATAGATTCTCATATGAAACATCAGAACTCATACCCTCTCTCCCTTATAGTTTTAAAGTCGAGGCGTTAGGGATATTGTTCTGGACTGATTCAACGGTTAGAGCGGGCCCAGTCTATACTCCACCTTCAGCATGGTCTATACGACCATGGCGCGAAGTCCTCTGCCCTCCGTCGGACGCCACCGGTCAATTGTTGTCCTAGACCAGCGAGACCGGCGACGTCCGACAGACACTTCTTCGTCTACCAGGCAACTAGAAACTGACCAGATCATTTCCTGTAACCTACCTCCTCCTTGGGACCAACAAATAGTTGCGGGCACTCTGTCCGGTTTGACCGAGTCCTGATAGTTCTTATTTTCACGGACCTGAATATCTAGGTCCAAAAATAGGAATCAATGACTACGCGGCAGAGGTATTATATAAACCCTCACACTTGTGAGGGCACGATATTCAATATTCATATCTGAAACCCTAATACTTTTCTTGTATCTCTTTGCTCTCACACTTACTTGATCGTCGGAATACCTTGCAGGTACAACCCCTTTTCTCTTCAACTTTCCAGCCCGATCAAAGATTATCCTCCGACCAACTCGCAAGTTCTGATCAATCAATAAGATTATATATAATAACAAATCTCATTAAGAGCAAATACCCTTTATGGTCTCAAATGAACCATAACTAATAACTATTTTCATGATTTAATTTTTGTGTTCAATCTTATATATCATATTTCACGTTTCAATACTTGTTTTAAAATCTAAAATCATACAAACATAAACTTTATAGTCACAAACATGATAATCACTAAAGTTGATAAACATGATACTTGTTTTTCAAAACACGACTATCCACTAGGTTACAAATCTTAAAAGGCAAAATTTTTAATTGCATAAAAAAAACATTACATAAAGACTCCCAGTCATTTTTATAATATAGTGACAGACTGAAAGTTAATATAATAAAAATGAAAGCATCTTTCATATTCCTTTGTTGACGACAAAATGACAAAGCTGGTGAGAAAAGAACAAAAGAATAACCTAAAAAGGTCTTTTAATATGTAAACACTCTCACTTCCTTTCGCTTCATTCTCTATCTTCTTTACATAACTAAGTACCAACATAGAAATGGAATGGACTTCATGCATAATTTTCATCTTTTTGACACTTGGTTTGATATGTGCTTGGAGGGTGTTGAATTGGTTGTGGCTTAGGCCAAAGATGTTAGAGAAGCTGTTAAGAGAACAAGGTTTTCGTGGTAATTCATATAGGATCTTGGTTGGGGATGTTAAGGATCTTTTTAAGATGCAAAAGGAAGCTAATTCTAAATCCATGAATCTCTCAGATGATATTGTTCCTCGTGTCAGTCCCTACATCCAACAGAGTGTTAAAATTCATGGTATGTTTGTTCTTTGCTCAATTGTAACATCAAGATCTTATTCATACACGGTTGAACATATATTTCTCGGTCGATCGTAGCGTAAATCTCTAACAATTGGTAAGTATATGCAGGTAAGAATTCTTTTATTTGGTTCGGAACAAAGCCAAGGGTGATTCTCACAAAACCTGAGCAAATAAAACATGTATTGAACAATATCTTTGAATTCCCAAAGAGAAACAATGAAGTTTTCAAGTTACTTGTTAGTGGTCTTGCTAGCCATGAAGGAGAAAAGTGGAGCAAACACAGAAGGCTAATCAACCCTGCTTTCCAATTAGAAAAGTTAAAGGTTATGACACCATCTTTCTTGACAAGCTGCAATGATTTGATTGCTAAATGGGAGGAAATGTTGTCATCAGATGAGTCTTGTGAAATAGACATATGGCCTTCTCTTCAAAACTTGGCTAGTGATGCTATTTCTCGAACATCATTTGGAAGTAGTTACGAAGAAGGAAAAAGAATATTCCAACTTCAAAGACAACTAGCTGAACTTATAATGAAAGATTTTGTGAAATCTTTCATTCCTTTATGGAGGTATAATCAGATACCTCCATATCATACACTTATTTACTTTGTATTTTTATTTTTTCTTAGTTATATAACATTTTTGTTTTTGTTTGTAGGTTTGTACCTACTACCGCCCATAGAAAGATGGATGAAATTGATAGAGATATAAAATCTTCTCTTAAAAACATCATTAACAAAAGGGAGAAAGAACTTGGTGAATCTACTACAAATGATTTATTGAGTATTCTTCTTGAGTCAAATCACAAGGAAATTGGAGAAAATACAAATAGCAAGAATGTAGGAATGACTCTTGATGATGTGGTAGGGGAATGCAAATTGTTCTACTTTGCTGGACAAGAGACTACTTCAGTTTTGCTTGTATGGACTATGATATTGTTGAGTAGGTATCCTTATTGGCAAGATCGTGCAAGAGAGGAGGTGTTACAAATCTTTGGAAACAAAAAACCAGACTACGATGGCCTAAATAATTTGAAGATTGTAAGTATTTATTACTATCTCTGGTTCTCTGACTTTTTATATTTATTGAATAATTAATGTATCTGATCTATTATATTTTTATTGACTTAAATATTTTTGTGACAGGTGACCATGATTTTGTATGAAGTTCTTAGGTTATACCCACCTGTAGTTGACCTAGTTAGACAAATTGAGAAAGATGTCAAACTTGGAAATATAATATTACCTGCTGGAGTGGAAGTTTCCTTACCAATTCTATTGCTTCATCATGACTGCAAACACTGGGGTGATGATGCTAAGATGTTCAATCCTGAAAGATTTTCTGAAGGTGTTTTAAAAGCAACAAATGAAAGATATTCATTTTTTCCATTTGGAGGGGGTCCTAGAATTTGCATTGGACAAAACTTTTCCATGATGGAAGCAAAGATGGCAATTTCGACGATTTTACAATATTTCTCATTTGAGCTTTCACCAACCTACGCTCATGCTCCATCCACTATGATTACTCTTCAACCACAGCATGGTGCTCAAATTCTTATACGTAAATTTAGAGACATAAAAAACTGAATCATAGTCTGGCGATGAAGTGTGAAATCTAGTATTCAGTAATGATGTCCACAAATGTCATATTGTATGTTTAAATTATGAAGATTATGGGCCACCATGTTTTCCTTCACATAAATATATATTGAAACTTTTTTAGATTATATTTCATAAATATATTACGTTTCAAAGAAAGATGGGTGGAAAAGATTTCTAATATTAGGGAGAAGGTGATCAAGTACTTCTCAGTTTTTGAAATTTCTTTTTAAAGGCTCATTCTAGATGAGTTTGGGCTTCAATCTATCTCCTTCAAAAATAATAGAGAATCTATTTATATGGGTGAAGTAAACCTATGAAAATTTCAAAATATTTTTCGGAGATGTATCTCCGAGCACACCATTAATCAATTTTGAAGGTATTTCGGAAATACATCTCCGAAAACGCTCATGTTTAAACGTTATTATTATTTGAACGTTGTATTTGAATATTTAGTAGTGTTTTCGGATATGCATATCCAAAAATATTCTTCCTATATCAACTTGCAGCATGATCACCCTACCACTATTTCATTCTCTTCATCTTCTCCCGTAACTAAGACCTATCACAAAACTTTAACCATTATCATATCAAAGAGAATGCATGGTGATAGCGAACTGTGACAGATATTTACAACTTTGTACAATAGAAAAAATGACTCCTCAATATATAAGAGAATAAAAAAAAACTCCCTTCTTAGATTGAAACTCAGATAGAAGTGATGCATACAACCACTCTGAAACTGCTTTGAGGGACTTCTTTATTGACTTTGTAACACTTGACTTTAAATTAATAATTTATTTAATTATTAGAATATTTATTTATGTGTTGTTTGATTATTTTTGAATAAGTGTGCTATTTTGGGGTGTTTGTGAGACTTATGAAAATTTTAGTAATTTAATAATTACTGAAATTATAGAGTTTGAAAACGGGCTGAATTAAAATTGAATTATTTAAATTATTAATGATAATTAGATAATTTTAATTTAATAATAATAAAATAATTATAATTTTAGAAATAAATCATATTGTTATAGTTAAATATTTATTTAACTGTAATATTATTTAATTAGAATATTTATTTAATCAAAAATAGAGTGTTATAGTAATTAATAAAATATGATTTATTAAGATAATTTAATTATTGGATTTAATTTTAATAAATAATAATAATAATAATAATAATAATAATAATAATAATAATAATAATAATAATAATATATTTTACCGTTAGAATTTTAACGTTAATTGATTAGGGTGTAAGAAGCAATGAGGATGAAGATAGTAATTAAGATTTTTAGGGCTGAATAAATAGTTAACGTAGGGTTGTGTGAGGAAAAATGAGAAGTTGAATCAGTGACATTTGGGAAGCGGTTGATAGAGTGCGATAAAATATTCAGAGTTTTATAGAGGGAGGACCATGAAGAAATGTAAATCTTCAATTAAGGTAAGGGGAGGGAAAATTACCTTCACTATTGGTGATAATTAGGCAGTCAGGGTGATGAGGATTCCTTATCATCTCACTAGCGCAATGGGTTTCCATAAATTTTTGCAATAACATTGAATAATATGTTTGTTTGGCCAAATGAGGTTTGGACAAAATCCATTAACATCGTTAAATAAATTTGTTTAAGATCATGTTACAATTTGTGACCAAATGAGATTTGGAATAAATCTCATTTGGCCATTGTATATTTGTATCGATAAATTTCTGTATTTTTGTGAGCAAATGGAATTTGGGTATTTTGATCACTATAAGATTGATCGTAATTGTATATATATTGTGTGTATGTAATAGTTGAAGTGATATCATCTAAATGCAAACCGTAATGTTTTATGATTTTTGGTGCAAATTGTATTATTAGGTAATTTTGGCGTGTTGTTGGATGAATCGATGGATATAGGACTATGTTTTCCAAGAACTTGTTTTTCTATAAAGCCCCACTACGCCAAACAAGACTTTAGACAACGCTTTTTTTGGCTTTAGATAGCGCTTTAAAGCGTTGTCTATTCCAGCGCTGCTGTAGGTAAAGACAACGCTTTGTTAAAAGTAAAAGCCCTGCTAAATCCCCCCCCCCCCCCTCCCCTAGGCAACCCTTTTACTTTGAAAGCGCTGCTAAAGGCCCTTTTTAGCCAGCACTTTTACTTTTAAAGCGCTGCTAAAGGCCCCCTTTAGCCAGCGCTTTTACTTTTAAAGCGCTCCTAAAGGCCCCCTTTAGCCAGCGCTTTTTCTGAAACAAAAAAAAAAAAAATATATATATATATATATATATATATATATATATATATATATATATATATATATATATATATATATATATATATATATATATATATATATATATATATATATATATATATATATATATATATATATATATATATATATATATATATATATATATATATATATATATATATATATATATATATATATATATATATATATATATATATATATATATATATATATATATATATATAAAGCCCCTTTAGGCAACGCTTTTAATGCTAAAGCGCTGTCTAAAACCCCCTTTAGGCAACACTTTTTTTAAAGCGCTGCTAAAGGCCCCCTTTAGCCAACGCTTTATCTAAAACAAAAAAATTTAAAAAAAAGAGCCCCTTTAGGCGGGGCTTTTACAGTAAAAGTGTTGTCTAAAGAGGGTTTTATACAACATTTTTTTAAAGTGTTGTCTAATGTCCACGAAATTTTTGATATAACCTTTTTGAAAAAAAAAAGCACTGTTTGATATATACAATTTTATATGCACAAATTTTAATCATATTTGCACCAGGTTTTCACCATATTTTGCACCTGTATATACCATTACAAATTTCACCAGATTTTCACTAATATTGAAGCTTCAATCCAATAAAAAATAATACCAAAAGATACTATATGTACTTATATATACTATTACTCTTGTACATATACTTTTACAAAAAAACAACACCATTATATACCATTACAAAATCTATTCATCTATATCTTCTACATATGCACATATAACCTGAAACAACATCAAAATATCGTAATTCATACCATGATACAAACAAAATATATATAATTTACCACATGGCAAACAACAACAAAATTGCAACACTTGAATATACTCAAAATTCTCATCAATTAAAGTAAGATTACAATATACCTTATATAACTTTCGTCTCAATAATGTATTGACACCAATCCTCCTTAAGTTCATCCAACTGAGAACTTGAGTAATAAGCAGACTTGAATTCATCAAAGTACTACATAATAATATAACATAGTATGTTTAAGCTAAAACTATTTAATTATATGAGAAATATGTGTTAAATATTAAAATAACTCCTAAGTTGGAAATCCATACCTTATATGGAATCTCTATTCGATCCAAAAGAAGGATTTCTCTCATAAACCTCAACATGTAGAAACCGCAATCTACTTCATTATGCTGCCGAGGATACTAGACATGAAAAAAAATATGGATAAGGCCTAAGTTTTATCAAGTATCGTCACTATTAATATAATCAAAATTGTGATAATTAATTAATATACCTCCACTATAATCCATGTAATGTTGTTGGCTTTACTCTTTGGTACTTGAACACCTCTTTGTTCTCGAAAAACTTGTATAATGCTAATAAAACATAAATGCATATTTAGAACAATTCACATAAATATATAAATAAATATACACACGAATATTTAGAACAATCTCACTTATGTATTGTTGTACCCCAAAAATTTCCCTCTCATTTCTCAAAAAATCTCTCATAAGATCTCCTTTGATTCAAGACTTCACCAGGTTTGATCAACTCAAGACACCCCCTCAAGCACTGATGACTTAAATTAGGGTTTGAGTTTGTACAAGGATAATTGAACTTTATAAGCCTCAATTGACTTTCATTAATCATTTTGAGGCCTCAAGATTTCTCCTGTCAAGTTTCAATTCTTGGATCACATTTTTGCGCAGTCAATTGATCAGTTGACCTAAAATCAGCAGTATTGGGAAAAAAAGTCAATTGTGGTCAATTTATAGTCAAACTTCATATTTTTTTGTGCATATAAACATTATGAACTCATATATGTCATTTGGTCAATTTTTGATCATAATTCCTCAGGAAATGTGATCAGATCATCAAAAGGGCAAAATGGTCAAAATTAGGGTTTTTGACTGAGGAAGTTCAATTTTTGACTTTTGACCTAACAAATGACTTATTGGTTTAAGACATGATCTCAAGGATACAAATGCACCATTTTGACCTAATGGCATGGCTCAAAACATTTCTCAAGATCAATTAATTGATAGTTGAATTTCAGTCAACTGATGAAAAGTCAATTGTACACTGAAAAGTCAAACTTTGACTTTTTGATCAAAATCAAGTTTCAAAGATTACAATTCACCAAGACATGTCAAAATATGAAACTTTTTCATCAAGAAATCAAAAAGTCAAGATTCATCCTTGAAAAGTCAAAATTCTAAAACTTAGAATTTTTTCTAAGTGTTGGAAAATTCACATTTTTTCACAACTTTGTGCCAAATTTCCACCATGATGCAAGATGATTCAAGGAAAACTTCCAACATGAAAGTTGTATATCTCAATGAGATATAAAACATTTTAGGGCATAAATTTTCCTAGAAATGCTTGGATTTCAAGTTATGAAGTTGTGAAGACATGCTCATGAAACTTAAAAGACTTAGTGAAATTTTGCCCTAATTAGGCAGGATTTTGACCTAACTTCATGGCAATTTTTCTCCTAGTTCAAAATTTAATTTTCAAAAATGTCCAACATAAAGGTTGTAGGGGATGTTACAAGCTTTCCAAAATGTCCAATAACTCATTGAGATCATGTTTGTGCTAAGAGAATCAAATCCATGAAGTTAGGGTTTCATTCTTGTTTTGCAAGGCAAATTTGTGAAGAACACTTGATCCAATCTTCAAGCATGATGTACAAATCTCACTTTGCAGTCTTCTAGCTTTCCTTTCACTCCATAATTAAA